TGAAACCCATCAAGGGCCGTGAGATTCTTGGTTGGAAGATGCAAGACATGTGTGAAGTTGTATTGTAAATATAAGCTTTTCAGCAATAAACTCCCCAACACACCTGGAGCTGAGAGCCTTGCTCCTCAACTGAATCCCCAGAAAAACCCTGAGCAATGGCCTTGCAGAGTGCCTTGATGTTCAGCAAACTCAGACTTTGTCAGACCATGAGGGAGAAGCAAATTTCCAGAGTTGAGGAACCTGCCCCCCAATGAACAAAGCTAATGCCTGTCAGCTTCTGTCCCGGCTGCTCCCATGTGCTGGATCAGAATGCAAGGAGAGAGAAGGGGTCTGATTCCCCAGTGTACACCAGTTAAGCTCCATTGAAGACAAGCAAATTGTTCCTGGTTTTCAGAGATGTGAAAGGAAAATCAGACCCTTTGGCCCAAAAATATCCAGTGCCCAAACTGCAAATGGCTTAATAAATCAGAACCTAGAGTTGCACCCGAATAGAACTGCAAGCACAATTGTGATATACACCACCTGAGAACCAGATGCACCCTGTACCACCTGAAGTTTCTGAGTGATGTTCACCAGCAGCCCTATGTGGCAAGTGTACTGTGGTGATCCAGCCTGGAGGTTGCAAAGGCCAAGGCCATGATAGGGAAGTCCACATCTGAGAGAAGGTTGGGATTCCCTTGCTCATGTACACATACTTGCATGAGCTTTCATCAAGCTAGCACAAGTATAAACAATGTAGCTGTTGTAGCACAGGTAATAGGAGTGGAGGTAAGGGTTAGTTGTGCCAAGTACAAACCCGCCTGAAACTGGTGGGTACATGCTTGGCATGACTAAGTCATGCCTCCGCTGCCACTACTTGTGATATTGCAGCTACACTGCTACTTATGCTTGCACTAGCTCAGGGGTTCTCAAACTGGGGGTTGGGACCCCTCGGGGCTCATGAGGTTATTACATGGGGGGTTGCGAGCTGTCAGCCTCCACCCCAAACCCCGCTTTGCCTCCAGCATTTATAATGGGGTTAAATATATAAAAAAGTGGTTTTAATTTATAAGGGGGGTCGGACACAGAGCTTGCTGTGTGAAAGGGGTCACCAGTACAAAAGTTTGAGAACCACTGGACTAGCTCAATGAGAGCTTGCACGAGTATGTGTACACAAGCAAAGAAATCACACCCATAACTCAATGTAGATGTAACCAGTATTGACAGATAGTATTGAGAGTGGGTGTGTACGTACATACCTCTGCCCTCTACTGGCTGGAATCAGAACTGCTCAACAGTGTTTCATAGCCCTGTATGGCTAGCAGCTAATGGAGATTCTCCTTTGGCTTAAGTGGTAGGGGTCTGTGCTTTTGGAGGAGGAGGGTCTGAATTCTATCCCTGCAGACACTATGAAGTTCTGACAAGCCACAGGGAGTAGCATAATGACAGACAACTGCGCTGGTTTCAGGTTTGTTATGCTATTTTCTCCATATGTAGCACCTTCTGTCCAAGGTCCTCAGTGTGCTTTCCAAGCATTAATGAATTTAACCTCTTTGCACTTCCCTGAGAAACAGAGCATCCCCACTGTACTGACTGGCAAGCTGAGGCACACAGACGGAGTGACTTGCTCAAGGGTGTGGCAGAGCTGAGAGTAGAGCTGTGGAGGCCTGACTCCCACTCTGGAACGTAGCCAGAAGATGAGCCCCCCATGAATAATGGTGTTGGGGCCTTATGCGCTCACTTATCCCCATCATTCTGTGATGTTGCATTGACAATGTAATGCCCTGAAATAAATCCCAGATTTCTGAATGGACTTAATCAATGTGGACAGATGTGTGAAAATCAGGACTGTCCCACTATAGGCGGTGCTCCTGTGAATGTAGCACTTCCCTTCACATTTGGGCTCATATGGACATTCGGGGTACCACTCCTGCACACCCTCTTCAGTGGGGTGTCTACAGATGGCCTTTGTCCTATCCTCTGCCTACAAGAATCCATCACTGGGGGGTTAATCCACTTTCATTCCTGTTAGTGTGCAGCAGTCTGTTGCTCAATCCCCTTTCTGTGGCTGACATTCCAGGGAAATAGCCCAAGTACCTTGTCTCCACATCAGTCAGTTACAGTTGTGCAATGGCCTTACAAAGCCACAGCTCCTGGGATGAGACAGTAGATGGGATGGAGCAACAGCTAACTTGGCCTCAGAGTCCTCTTGTGCTGCCAGATCACTAAAGGAGCTGGACTCTGACCCTTTGGGACCCAAGGAAGAGGACAGATGCCATTGATGCTAAGCTTTTAAAGTTCCAGGGTGAAGACTGCAAAACACTGCATGTGCAGCTTTTCACCTGCATGTTCAGGGTTTTAACAACTTTGGTGTCTGTATGTTGGAAGCCTCCATCGTTTCTTAGGGAGGGAGACTTATGCACTGGGAATGAAAAATGGGAACTTTATGGGGCAGATTTTCACAACTACAAGTGTAAATGTGTGTGTGCCATTGTGTGCTTAACTTGTGTGCCACTACATGTACAAATCAGGGATTAGCACATGCAAATTCCTGAGTGCATACACTATCATGGTATCTGGGTTTGCAAATTGTGCGCACAGTTTCATGTATACTTTTGCATATGCAATTACATGCACATGTGAACCCATGATCACACACATTTATCTCGCGTGTTACACAGGCGGCTATGAAAACAATGTCCATAACGTTGGTGGTGTGGTTGTCTCCTTCTGTTTCTTCCTGCCTCCTTTCCTGTGTTGACTCTCCACCTCTGATCAAATGTTGCCATTAAACCAATCACTGCTTCTTGTTGGTTCTCTTTGAAGGATGTGGGAATTGAGATCAGCGCTAGAACTGGGAAAGCCCTGTTAAGCCCTCTTTCCCATTCATTACCCCCTTGCATCTGACTGTTCCCTATTCGTGTCATCCTGTTATGACCGCCCTGATTCTGAGAAGGAGTGGGAGAGAGAGAACCAGCTGGAGTTAATCCAAGGTTCACAGGGTGAAAAGGAATCAGCTCCTCTGCCATGCTGGACTCATTACTACCTGCTAGCCAATGACCCTTCAACCAGGCAGGCCCATCTGTCCAAGATTCAGGGTGAATCTTCTTTAGGAAACGGTGTTCTCTGACCTCACAGTAGCGAACATGTAGTAACTAACATGGGGTAAACTCCTCATGAAGACAAGGTCATTTGTGATTTTCAGGTTGAGGTAAAGACTATGGGGGAACCTAGCATTTACCGTGACCTACTAACAGGCGTTAAAACTACAAGTGCCTTGTCTGCATTCGGATTTTAGCACGTTAGGTAACATGGTTAAAAATACACCTTTTTTTCCTGGTATGGATATGCCTCAAAAGAGCATCCTTAGAAAGGACAAAGATCAAGTCTCTCTGAGAGAGAGAGAGCACAGTGTGTGTGTGTCTTCTCAGTAACAGTCTGAGAACAGTATTTGTTTGGAGAACAAAATATCTTTTGAGCTCTGTGCAAGAAGAGAGAACTTAAAAATCTGAAGGTGCAGTGGATGGAAAGCAAAAGGCATCACAATTTCATGGTTATGTACATGGAGATGTTGAGCTGTGAGAACCCCAAACACTTTCATCAGTACAAACAGAACCCAGGAATCATGGGCCACCAGTCCCCTCCTCTACCTCCACTCTGCCTTCCTTGCAGAATTCCACTTGGCTGCTCATCTGGGGAAAAGTCTAATGTGTTATTTTTTTATGATCAAGTAAAGCTGTCTTTGGGGTTTTATTTCTCTGTTGTCATCCTCATGGTCAGGGCAGATGAGCAGGTTTTTGAGCTGTGGAGGGAATTTTCGTGACTATTTTGCAAGGCTCTGCAAACTATAGAAAAATGGGGCCGGGCCGGAGGGCGGGGAAGAAGAGGAATTGCTTGAGTGGGAAATGATTGAACTTGCAGAGCTAGGAAAAAAGAGTGTTTGAGACTCCATGCCCTTTTCCTTGTAAAGCTGTAAGTGCAATGTGTATATTTATTCTGATTTGGTAGTGTTTTACACCCACTTTGCACTGGAGTAAATGATGACACAAAGTGCAGGGGATAGAGAATCAGGCCCAGAGAGTTTCAGAGGATAGAAATAAATCACTGAGATTCACCATTGTCCTGCCAGCCTTGGGGAGAGAGAGGGACTTAGACAAGTGGCTATTCAGCTCCTCCTTATTCTAGCCTCACTGATCCATCACAAAGACTGAACAGAGGCAAAAGCATAGAGACTGCTCTGGTCGCAGCAATGCTGCTGTTACAGACCAGGCTCTGCCACTGAGTTTGGGATGAATTGGTAGCATTGTGATTGAGAATCCTAGGAGGGACGGTATGGCAAAGACCTATTAGATCAGCGGATTCATGCCTCAGCCAATGCAGGATTGTTCCCTGACCAGGACATGGTGTGTTTGTGGCAGGCAGTGGCATCAGCCGAGAGAGGAGCGGAGCATTGATTAAGAGAGCAAGGGGGGATGGGAGAGTGTCTTACACACACATTATCCACATGCACACAGCATCAGCATCAACAGCTTCTGCCAGCCAGTACAGCACAGCCAGACTGCAATCACTGCCTCCGTACCTCCAGAGCTGCTCTCCTCCTCCTCTCCCCTGGTCTGTCTTTCTCTCCCTCGCTCACTCTCACTGAGCTCCCCATCAGCCCCTGCAGGACCCGTCCGCTCGCCATTTGGGCCCCACCAGCACGGAGACAATGAATTCATGCGGATTATGCATCTGAAGGAATAACAAGCTTCTGAATAGCCACAAGGGGAGGTATCCATGTGTTTGGCAGGGATACAGACGCCTGCTCGCTTGCTCGCTCTCTTTCTCAATCGCTCTTCTCTCCCTTCAGCTGCCTCCTTTCCAGCTATGATCTTCTTTGATTTCCCTGAGCAGCTGCAGTGAACAGGCTCCTTGGTGCAGCCCAGATCCCACAGGATCGCACCTTCCCTCCTAAGATACTTGAGGGATTAGGATTATTTTTATTTCTCTCCCTCTTTTTCCGGTTTTCCTCCACCTGCCAGTCTCTGTGACTCTCACATCCTTCCGTGCATGCGTCTCCCTCGCTCCCTTCTTCTCATCCAGACGGCGAGAGGTGGAGGGAGGTCCACCCTAGTGCAAGGACCTGTCTTCTTTGCTGCTGGGACCAGCCCTACAGGAGCAGTGTGGACCCAGCCCTGGACGCTGACCCTGCCTTCAGGTTTGGATTCTTGTTTCTTTGGTCTGTTTCTTGACATGCTAGTGCTGTGTGTGTGATGGGGGGGAGGTGGAGGAAAGGGGGAGGATCTGATAAGCCGGTGAAGGAGTTGTTTGGGGGAGAATGGTAACTAGGTTTGGTGTATGGACATCACAGTGACAGAGACAGGGTGGGAGGGATGTAGAAATACAAGGGACTGTGTTCAAAAACCCAGTGCCTGGGATGGAATCCCTCAGAGGCAGCTGGGAGCATCCTCCCAGGATTCCCGTCATTCGCTCCATTTCCTGGGATGTTGAGTCCACTGGGAATGCACCTTTCATTACTGCCTCTCCCGCTATGGCATCTTTGCTGTCCCTGTTGAGGTCCTTAGCCTGGGAGGAGCAGCAGCATCCAGGCTGGCCTGTCCATGTGTCCGTGCTGGGAGTAATGGGCTTCTCTGTTCTTCATAGAGTGGCCCGCTCTGTATCTCAGCCCTGACTATGATGGACCTGAAAGTGGACGAGGAGGAGGTGGAGAATGGCCATCCAGTCAGTATCCAGGCCTTTGCCAGTAGCTCCACTCTGCATGGCCTGTCCCACATCATCTCCTATGAGAGGTTCTCCTTCAAGCGCATCCTCTGGACTCTCTGCTTCCTGGGCTCTGTGGCCCTGTTGGCCTATGTCTGCACGGAGAGGATCCAATACTACTTCCTCTACCCTCATGTCACCAAGCTGGATGAAGTGGCCACAACCAGGTTGACCTTCCCTGCTGTCACTTTCTGCAACCTCAATGAATTCCGCTTCAGCCGTGTAACAAAGAATGACCTGTACCATGCTGGGGAGCTCCTCGCTCTGCTCAATAACAGGTGGGTCCAGGGAAGCCAAGCCCTGAGGGTGCTGCATGAGCTCAGCACTGCTGATCTAGATGGGACAGTACAGCACCATGCATCTGAATGTGCTGACATTTATGTGCACACAACCAACAGGGCACTGTGTGCACATCTGCACCTAGGTGTTCGACAGACACGATACTCTGGCACTAGAGATACATCCGTGCACCTGCATAAGCTACACATGGCTCCATGCACCATGTGGACCTACACACACTACATGTGCACTTCCCTGTATACATTCCTGGAGATATGATGCACCAATATTCAGGCCTAATTTAAATATTCAGGCCTAATTTAGTCCCATACTCTGCATCTAAAGCAGTTCCCTCTGCAATGCATACCTGTCTGCTCCTGAATGCCCAAGATAACATTCATACCCTGATCACATTCATGCCCACCCCACCACTGGCACTTGGGAAAAATTGCACTTTCCAATGGGAAAAAAGAACTGCCACTTGTGTGAGTGGCTGGGGAGGGGACGTGGTGGCACACCAACGTGGGCAGCCTCAGCAGCCCTGTGCTATGACTGCTATAATAAGGACTTTTGTGTGTATGCAGGTGAAAGATGAGATGATGGGTGAGTACAGCCCTGGCACGGATGGGCACAACCCCAATGAAGTCAACAGCCACAGCTGAATTTGGCCTGGGGTCCTCCTGGCATCTGCCAACAAAGGAAAAGACTGAGAGCAGGGGCCCAAAGTGATCCCGTTAACACACTGCTCCTCAGGATGAGGCTCAGATGCTAGTGCTACCCTGGGTGCTTGGCTGGTAGACTTGGTGGGTATGTTAGGGGAGGGTGTGGCATGGATTGCTTTCCTGCACCCCATGCCCCACATGGATGGTTGGTTGCAGGAAAGCAAAACAGCCCTGCACATATTGGCGAGTCTCTTTGTCCACAGGATGAGTGGCACATGCAGGCAGATCCAAGGTACCACAAGGAGATGGCAGGACAGATGGCAATAGTGTTTTTATCTATACTTTAGGGAGATGTAAACTCCCTTGGCCAGCTGGGGATGGGACAGTGAGGAAGTGCCCATGATATAATGCCCGGATGCCCACACTGTGTAGGAAAGGACTCCCATAGATGCTTCTGCCAAACATTAGTATGGGACCCAAGGGCTCTTATGCACTTTCCCCATATTAGCATTCAGTCCATGTGCCACTGGATTTTCCCCATGTTGGTACAGAGCCCATGGGTCACTATCAATTCTTCCCATTAAGCATTTGCTTTCCACTTCCAGGCTTGTCAGTGTTATCCAGCATCTGTGCTGTGTTGGTGGCAGCTCCCTGCCCAGTCCCCAGCCTTTGTCAGTGACAATTCTTGGCCATTCTAAACTGGCAGCAGCTCCTGCTCTTTGAATGAGCTGGCTGCTGTTGTAACTGCTCTCTGTAATATGCCTGAGAGCATGAAAACTAATGATCCCTGTGCACGTCACTGCAGAATGTGACAGCCACTGGTGTGTGTGTGTGCACATGCGTGCAGCATTGCCTTCTGTTGGATAGAATCAGAACTGCTCAGCTGTGTGTCCTAGGCCCTGTACTGCTAAGAGCTGATATCATGGGCCTTCGCTTTTGGAGTAATACCCTGGCTGTTGCTGTGAAGATCCTTGTGGCCACTGTGTGCAGCATAGGCACAAACATGAAACCCTAAGAGCTTGTCTACACAGTGTGACAAAGTGCTCTACAGGGGTGTGATTTGTAGAGCACTCCAATGTGTTGTGCTCCAACTGCTCTGTGTAGACCCTGCTGGCACACTCTAAAAGTTTCATGTTAGTGTGCCAGCAGGATCTACATGGGGCAGTTGGAGTGCAACATGTTAGAGCTCTCTCCAAACAATACCTCTGTAGAGCACTTTGCTGCACTGTGTAGACAAGCCCAAAGTGGCTGCAGATTTGATCCGATCTGTTGTGTGAATCCTCAGTCAGTGTTCAAGTAGGTCCTAGTACATGCAAATAAATGCCCCATCCTTAGGGCCGGCTCCAGCTTTTTTGCCGCCCCAAGCGGCGAAGCGGAAAAAAAAAAAAGATAAAGCTGACCGGTGGCACTTCGGTGGCAGCTCAGTCGTGCCACTCCATTCGGCAGTGGTCCTTCGCTCCCTCTCTTCCTCTTCGGCGGCACTTCGGCGGCAGCTCAAAGAGGAAGAGAGGGACTGAGGGATCCGCCGCCGAATTGCCGCCGAAGACCCGGACGTGCCGCCCCTTTCCATTGGCTGCCCCAAGCGCCTGCTTCCTTCGCCTGTGCCTGGAGCCGGCCCTGCCCATCCTGCTCCCACTAAAGTCAACAGGGAAACTCACACCGATATAAAAATGGGAGCAGGATCTGGACCCAAGGCAACAGAGGAAAGACATTTTCATCTACTGAATAAAAGAAAGGCCGTGCGATTAGGATGAGTAAGTGAATGAGTTATAAGAGGGGAAGGAAGGGGGCATGGAGACACACACAGGCTGCACCTTAAAGTAGGTTGGCAAAACCTGTTTTGCCTGCAGCTGTATCAGCACCTCCTGCCAGCCTGTCAGATCACACAAGCTAAGCCAGGTTGGACTGACTCACTCCAGAGCTGCAGGGAGAGGTGCTGGTGATTCAGTAGAGGGCAGCCTTCCCTCTGCGTTAGTATTGAGCCGGTGCCCCAGTATAGTCTTAGAAGGATGCTGTGCTGTTTTGCTCAGATTAAATGAAAAGATCCCATGCTGGTGGTTGTAAGAGCTGTGGTAAAACTTGTGCCCTGGCCATTTACGTTTCTGATAGTTACTTTCAGCATCCCTAACTCTTTCTCCACAACCCCCCCTTCTCAGTCAGATGTAGTTTTCTTCCTCATTTCCTGTCCTAGCCTTTTATTTAGCAAGGCTGTTGTTAGGCAGCTGTCATGCTGCCCCAGAGGTGCAACATGAGAACATAAGAATGGCCATGCTGGGTCAGACCAGTGGTCCATCGAGCCCAGTGTCATGGCTTCCTATGATGAAATGCAGATTGGCTGCATATCAGTGGTGAATGATTGACCCCTGCTTATCCTTCATCATCATCATCATCATCATCATCGTGTTTCTATTCCACCTCTGGCGTTTAGGGCAGTGACGAAGCTCCTCCACTCCTGTCTATTTCTGGCAAGTCTTTCAGTGGTTCCCCAGCTATGCCCCAGGTTTTTCAGCTCAGCTTCCACAGCTCTTTGCCATGTTGTTTTCCGGTGGCCTTGTTTTCGCTTGTCTTCAGGTGTCCGTCTTATTGCTACTCTGGTGATGGAATCAGTTGCCATCTGAAGCACATGACCAATCCGTGTCCAGTGCCTCTTGGCAATGATGGTGCTCAGATCCTCTTGGCTGCACCGTGTCAATAGATCTTGGTTTGAGATTGTTCTGGGCCAACAGATACGGAGGATTTTTTATTTTTTATCCTTGTTAGTTTCTGCTATACATCACTTTGAGATGCTTAGTGGAAAAGTGCTGTGGGTGGGCAAGTGCACTAGACTCCACCTCCAGCTACCCCAGCATGGCCAGGCCTCCTACTCCAGCACCCATGCTGCCAGTGCCCCCAGCACCTTCAGCTATCACCAGCACCCACCATCCCCTCCTCACAGGCACCCACCACAGCTGGCACATGTCGTGCAGCTCCATGGCATGCCAAAAGGGACCACTGTGATCATCTGGTCTCACCTCGCCTCTTTTAGAAAACATCCAGACTTGATTTAAACGCTGCCAGTGATGGACAATCCACTATGACCCTTGGTAAGCCCTTCCCATGGCTGATCACCCTACTTGGGGCAAGGTGCATTGTCATATGCTGAAATTTATGGTTCTATGGAAATTATTTGCAAATATGCAATTCGTGTGATTAAAAAATGTTCTTAAAATGTCACGCATGGAGCAGCACAAAACTTGGCATTTGGGCCTAGGCCCTGTGCTATATTGTAGCACAAGGGACACAGGCATATCTCAGTGCTGAAGGGTGCTGTGTTATTCTACAGCAGAGGAGACACAGTCTTGTGTCAGTACTGGAGGTGCCTGGATGCTGGGCATTGGTGCTGTACTACAAGGTTACATTCTGTCCTTCAATTATAGACATCCCACTTAAGTTAGTGGGCCAGCTCTGCTATCAGTGATGACATTGGTGTCAATGTGGAAATAACTCCTTTGAAGTAATCGGTGACATTAAGAGCAGAGATTAGCTTGGTGGGAGTTGCACCTGTATATGCGAGGACAGGACTCGCTCCAGCAAGGATTAAGAAGTCTCTGTGCCCTGTTTTCCCAGGTATGAGATCCCAGACACCCAGATGGCCGATGAGAAGCAGCTGGAGATCCTACACGATAAGGCCAACTTCCGAAACTTCAAGCCAAAGCCCTTCAACATGCTGGAGTTTTATGATCGGGCTGGCCATGATATCCGGGAGATGCTGCTGTCCTGCTTCTTCCGTGGAATGGAATGCAACCCAGAGGACTTCAAAGTGGTAAGTGCTGTGGGCTTCCTCTACTCCTGATCCTTTGTAATAATGCTGTGCCTAGAGCAATCTGGATAATGCCACTGCTTTTCTGATCTAGATTTGTATCCTGAGACGAGGGTGTCTTGTGAATTTACACTGTGTGTAGGATCTGTGGCTGGCATTGCTGTGAGCACAACAGGAATTGATGTGGGACATTATGGGGGTGGCCTATGGTGGGTGCTGCTTGTGAGCACCCTCTGCAAACATTACGTCGACTCTCTGTGGTGAATGTTTCTGTGGCCACCTTCTAGGAGGGAATTACTGTGGATATGGTATAGTCTTGTGTCCAGGGTGGATATGTCTGTGATGGTGACATGCTGGAGGGAGGACTTGAAAAAGAGACCGAGAGAATTTTTCTGTCAGTGGCTATGCAAACTCTCTTATGTGTCTGACTAGCACATCCTTTGCCTTTGACAAGAACTGGCTTGCACCAAATAGCAGGTATTACAAAAGGAGGGGGAACTTTTCAAGAGAGGATACACTTGGATCTGCATCCATCCATGCTCTTTGTGGACATTATGTAGCCTTTGGCAGGTATTTCTGTGACTCTTGTGTAGATATTTCTGTAGTTGAACATGGTATGTGATTCAGAGAGGTTGAGGTTGGCACACCATAATCATGTACATACATATCATGGCAAATTTTCCAGCCCTTAGTGGGCAGGTCCTGGGGGTGTGCAAATCCTGGTGGTAACTGATGGCTCAAGTGATACTGAGCAAAGTGGGTATGCTGTGCTGCAGGAGCCAGAGTGGTTGGTACAGAGACTGCAATGATTCTGGAGTGGTGAGGTGTGCATGTGGTGGGGGGCTCTCGCTCAGCAGAATGATATGTCAAAGAATCATAGAAATGTAGGGTTGGAAGGGACCACAAGAGGTCATCTGGTTCATCCCTCTGCACTGAGACCGGACCAAGCCATACCTAGACCATCCCTGTCAAGTGTTTGTCTAACCTGTCTTTAAAACCTCCAATGATGGGGATCATGTCAACTACAGATGTGGCAGGAACCATTGGTAGTATGAGGAGGGAAATTATGTGATGCCAACTTGGATCTCCCAGGTTTCTGTGTGTTTGAATTGACATGCCCAAGAAAGGAGGGAGCTGCCAGCTATACATATGATATTTGCCTGCCTGTAGCCACCTCCCTCTCTTTCTACCACTCCATCTTCTAAAATGTGCAGCAGTGAAATAGTTAATACTGACATTATTAAAGACCCATCATTAGGGTTTAGAACTAACAACTCAGTGAAATTAATGGGGGACCAGCGCACTGTTTCAGGCTCTGTGCAGACCTCAGTTAGACTTGGGTCACATTTGGGATATTTTCTATGCAATATAAGGGTTTTAATTTATTTTTGTTTTTTTAAGACTAAAGCTGGGATTCTTCAGAAGCTGACTGTTGTGTAGGCCACATGAAGCACCAACCAAGCCAGTGGGGCATGAGGGGCCCAGGGCTTGACACCCCTTAGAGTCAACAGGCAGCAGAATTTAAAGGCCTCTGTCTCAGAAGTCAAGTGCTTGGGGCTAGTGCCAGCTCTATGGGACCTGATGGTGCTCCTTGCTCTGAGTAACAAATTTCAGATCATGTCTGGTTCTCTGTACTCTTTATATTTAATCTCTCTCTCAATCTGTGTGTGTCTCTCCTGCTCTATCTTTTTTATCTCTCTCCTTTCTCTCTCTCTCTCCATTTATCAGTTTTTCTTTAGTCTAGATTCTTTCTCTCTAGCACTACATTTTAGAATTCTAATTGCCAGTACATCCATGGCAAGTGAACTATCCAGTGTGTCCTCTGCGCCATTTCCCCTTTGCAAGAGCAGCCCTCGGGGCAGTCTCAGAAAGTGTCTGCCCGAGGAGTGCGGACTCTCATGGAGTAAGAGGAAATCCCTCTCCCCAGATCTCAGCCCCCTGCCCTCTATTTTGGAGCCTCTTTTCCATTGAGCGGCACTGTAATGAGATGTCACCAGCAGAAAATCTGGGGAGAGTGAGCGAGACAAATGACAAGACTGAGAAACATAAATAGACACACAGACGCTCCATGTATCAGTGGAATATAATTTTCAGTCACTCACTCGAGCTTTGTCATCTCCCTCTGTACTGTGCAGTGTTTGTTTCATGCTGACACATAGATCCGATACACAATAGAGCCTCTATGATAGGTGTCTCTCCCTCTCTCTTAGGTGCATCTGTAAATTATACAATACTAGAACTTTGAAAGTTGGCTAATAAGTTCAGTGGAGAGAGCTGGCACTTTTTGTTTGAGAACAGGCTCAATTGTGGTGCGGCTAATAGAACATGGTCCTACTTCTCTGGCTTTATGGTTCTTGGAAGAAACACAAATCCAGTCTAGGTTCCCCCACCCGCCTCCAAAGACGTCAGCCATCCCTCATGCTAGGATTCTCCACAAGCTGAGCAGGGTTGGGCCTGGGTTGGTATTTGGTTGGTAAACCTCTGATGTTGCAGAAGGTGCTGTTTGTGACATTATAGGTGGCACTCTTGCTTCTTGAGTCTGTATCAAGTGGGGAGAGGGAATCTTTGGGAGGACTACATCGAGAGTAATGAGATGAGCTGCTGCTGTCTCCGAAAGCTGAGGTACTGATGGTTATCGTCATTAGAGGTCCCATGACACTTTGCTCAAGTGCTGGTGTCCAGGTCACATTCCAGCCCAAGTTATTCCATTGTGCCTCATTAAATTCCCTCTAGAGTTTCAGTTGGATACAAGATTCCTCTTCATTAACTGCCATTAACTTCATTAACTGCCATGTTGTTTAGTTTGTTAAACAGTCGCTATGTTCCACCCCAGAGATGGCTGCATTTCAGTGGGGGGTGAAACCATCTCTATATTCCCCTTTCCTTCCTTGTGGGGATATTGTGAGAATTAATTCATGTTTATAAAGAGCCTCACATTCTCAGATGACAGGAACAACAGAAGTGGAAAGTGGTGGTTGCTGCAGCATCAATCTTGCACTGTTGGGTCCTCAAACACAGGCCATGGGTTGCAGTCTGTACAGTGTGACCTGAGCAGTACTTACACCAGTGAGCAGCTCAGACATTCACTCAGCTGAGTGTTGTTCTTCACGTGTTTTTGGTACACCCACGGTAGTGTCATCTGTAGGTGGAGCAGAGAACTCCAGGCTTTATTTTGACACTGGGCAACTTTCTTCCCTTGCCTGTGCCTCAGTTTCTCCATCTATGAAATGGGGATAATTCACATTTACCCACATCATATGAGGAGGATGGTTATGAAACATAATGCATTCAAGTGTGTTGTTAATAATACCTAACTCTAATATGTATGTTAAGGGTTTTGAGACCCTCAACGAAAGGTGCTTACTTAAGTACAAACTATTCTATTTTTGCAGTTGATGACAGCAATAAGTACTCCAGGCTGAGCATTTCCAAATAACTTGAGGAACCTCAGCTCCACCTCTCCATCAGTTTGGGCTTACTGATTGGATTTCCCAGAAGTAGGCAGTACAAGCTGCCTCTGACTGACAGTTTCTCAGCAGGATGAATTGGACTGATGGTAGCATTGAGGTGCTGGCCTTTGAGTCATCCTGCACATTTGTTTTTAGCTGACAGTGGATTTGCAAATATGCAAGGAGGTTTTTGTATCCAATGCTAAGTCAATGGTCCCTGTCATGGAGGTTGCAGCAGGTGATGATAAACCACGATGGGAGTTGTGTGTTCAGGCCTGCATGCAACGGTATCTCAATGTCAGTGCTTGCAGATGGGACAGTGTATATCAAGAGAGAGGGTAACTGCAGCTATTTTTTTTAATCAGTAATTTTGAGCAGTGTGATGAATTAGCTAGTTTGCATGGGCAGCACTGCCCTCCTGTGGATGGAATCAGAGTTGCTGCACTGTGTGTCCTAGGCCCTGTATTGCTAATAGCTAATGGAGAGTCCCTGTTAGCTTATACATCAGGGGCTGGTACCTTTGGAACAGGGGGATCTGAGTCTACCTGTGAAAGGTCTAGGCTGCTCAATGTGACACTGGATTAGTCCGTTCTCTTTATGAGGGTTCTGCTCTAGAATATAGTCTGTTTTGCATCTCACACTTGGGACGAAGAACAACCAAACTATATTAGTGGCTGTTTCATTATTACCTCATGGATTATTTCTTGTGAGCAGGTTGATATGATTTAATGGATTTGATTATAAAAAGCTGGCTCCGTGCTATATTTATGCTGCTCTTTGCATTCCCCTTGCAGCCTTGAACATGCAGGTTTTGTGCATAATATGTTAGAAGAAGCCTTTGCTCTGTCACTGCCTTTGCATCACTAGAGTTCCTGCAGCCCCTCTCGCTGAAATAGTTATGAAATATTTGGCCATGTTTCCCTGCACATGGGCTCCAGGGGCTTTGTCAGGGGTGTTTGTGTTAATGCAGAATATCATTTCACTTGAGGAAAATGATATAGCAATCCATTTCTCCCTTCTCATGTCTGTTCCGTGCTCTCTCTCTCTCCCCATCCAGTCAGCCCCCTTTCACTCACTCAGTCTTTTCCACTCTCTCTTCCCTTCTTTCTCAGCCTCTCATGCATCAACTTGTTCCTACCTCTTCTTTTTCTCCCCCACCATCTTTCCCCCCATTTTTCATCTACTTCCTCCTCTCACTGTCTTTTTCTCTCCACTCGGCCCCCCAAGCTGATTCTCCAGGGAGTTTGCTCAAGTAATGGTAGAGCTGTGCTGGGAAATACCCATCTGCACAGAAGGGAAAAAACCCTTAAAGGCAGCCGTAGATCACTGGAGGCACTTTGAGGGGATTGTGGTGTCACTTAGTGCTGTTTATCCAGTTTGTAATTCATATCCTATTATCTTGGAATGAGCCCTGGGGCAGGCTTTTCCCAGAGCATCACATCAGGATCTGGCTTTGTATTAAGCCTTAAAAAGCTGTAATCCAAGAAAGGAGTGAGATTTTTTTTCGAGACAATGTGAGAAGCAGGAACATTCAGAGGGTTTTGTTTTTTAATA